TATTTTTCCTAAAATATATTACTAAAATAGGGGCATTTGGGTAATAACATAGATTCTTACTCAGATTATGTGAATTAGTAGATAACTTATATGGTTCAATACTATTCCTACTTTGATTCCTGAAAATTTTAGTAAAAAGTTTTGCCACGCCTTAGACCCGTGGTCGATGAAAAAATAAACCTGCGCCCGATGCACGAGTAAAAGTAAAAATAAAATCGAAAAACAAACTTCTCTTATAAAATAACTCCAAAATTTTTACAGGGTGTACAAAAATAAAATATAAACCTTAAAATCCCTCATTGAACACAATCTTAGCTCTTCTACCCTTCGTTAATCTTGTACCACACCTGCAAGGTCTAAAATATATAGGGTGAGTGAGACCATAGCTCAGAGGGACATAAGTCTTATCAAGGATAATTGTCAAGGCTAAACCGAGTGTCATGCAGCACATAAACAATTATAACCATGGATGGAGGGAGGTAAGGCCTAGTGGGGGCACATGCCCCCTCTCATCCCCTTTGTTTCATTACAAATTAATCATGCTTTGTGGATTATTCAATTAATCATATTAAAAATAGTGAAAATGCTCTTTTAGTTTTTAAATGCCCCTCTGTCTTGTATATTTTTTCTCATGCACTAATGTCTAAACCTTGTTGAGTTGCATGTACTTGGTTAATTAGTACAAATGAGCATTAGATTGTCAACAATTAAAGACAAAATTAGACAATAGAGTAATAAAATTAGGCATTTTGTAATTAATTTTTTCAGCATTTGTAAAAGAACTAGCTTTATTTGTCCAAAAAAAGAGCTCAAATTTTTTAAGATGCCCCCTCTTAGTTAAATTTCTGGCTTCGTCCCTGATTATAACATTTTGTATCATTAATCACAATTTAACTAATAAACCAGGAATGTAGCTTAACTTCAATCACCTAGTCCATCAATTTATATAATAAAAACGCGTGGATCTACACGTCCCATACTATGCATTTTACCACTATAGGGGTGGTCCAAATGCTCTAATATACAAACTAACCCCGACAACTCAATCATCCCAGTTCTCATTTTTGTTGGTCATCTTGTTCTTCTCTCGATTGCCAGTGTCCCCACTATGTCATATCATTCTTATATAATATCACTTTTGCCACCCTTGCTAGTTCCTACTAGAGTTGAACACAAAAGATAGTTCCATTTTCATATCCCATTCTCGAATAAACCAATAAAATCCATCCTCTCCAACATGAAATGATATGCATATAATCAACATTATTTCAATATCCAATGCCGGGTACATATTACATATACTATTATTATAATATTACACTTTTCAAAAAGGTTTTACAAAACTTTATTTTTAGGCACTCATCCTTATTTTTCGCCCCTCCAAAATCTTAGCGGCAAGAGTTTCGTGACGACGAGGATTGCTGGTAAAAGCTATCATGTATGAGACTTTTTCTTTCTGTATAAATGTCCTTACGATTTTTTCACTGCAATTTACTTATGCTTTGAACATCACTTCTGTTAAATGAGTTGGTCCTACTCACATGTGCACTCTAGAATTACTTACTTTAGATTTAAATTAGTAGCACTTTCCACATCATATCAGTTTATGACTTCGTCACTTTCTGGATATCGACTAGCACGGCTTGATTCGGGCGTCTAGATGGATATTCCAGGTCGAGTGTGTCAGTTTGGTATCATTATCGGCAATAACAGTAATATGAATACCATATTCCAAAATACACTTATATCAGCTATAAAGATATATCAAGTTTAACACATATTTCACAAAACTTAAACAAGACAAATACCCCAATAATGATAAGTTCCCCAAGAAACTACCTTTCCTCGATTTCAAAACTAAAACGAACATCTACATCACTACTGCAATATATAACTAAACTCGACGTACTTGAGCATGCTACTTGATCACTCCTAACACTGTGTATTTCTTCTACTCTCTTTAATTTTCTAATTCTTCTCTCTACATATATATACGGGGTAAATTACAAAGTAGCCCCTCAGGTTTAAGGTCTATTACAATCTCTTACAACATCTTTAAAACATTTCACTTTCATACCTCATATACTATTTTATTTCAAAATAATACATTCATTACATTTTCCATCCATTGATCCATTAAGTGTTGATGTGGCTGCCAAATGTGTGCCACATGGCAAAAAAATCAATTTTTATTTTTTTTTAAAAAAAAAACCTAAATCTTCTAAAATAAAAAAGAAAAAAAAAGAAAGAGAAAATCCAGATCCCATCACCCTACCCCCCCCCTCATACCTGAACCTTGAACCAAAAAAAAAAAAAAAAAAAAAAAACCCAGATCCCTCTAAAAACCACCTCCCCCTGCACGAAACCCCATATCCCCCCCCCGCACTGCCGAAGTCCAGATTTAACCAACCCTCCTCCTCTGCACCCATCTCCACCTCCTCCGCGCACCCATCTTCCCTTCTTCCCCCTCCCTCAACTCGAGCCCAACCTGCAAAAAAGAAAGAAAAAAAACCAGCGCGCCTACCCTCTGCACCCACCCTTGCATGCATCCTCTTTTATCCTCTACACACCATACTCCTTAAATTCACACTCATTGGGGAAGATGGGATCTGAGTTGCAGGGAAAGGGAGATAGGTTTTTTTTTTATTCTTTTTTTGGGTTGCAGGTAGTGGGTGTGGAGGAGGAGGTGGAGGATGGGTGCACGGTGGGTTTGGGGAAGACGGGAGGGGGAAGAAAGGGGTGGGTTGCAAGGAAGGAGGGGTCGGGGAAGATGAAGATGGGTTTTTTTTTTTTTCCCTCCTCTGGGTTTTTTTTTTTTTTCCCTCCTCTTCTTCTTCTGGTGGGTTGCAGGTTGGGTGGGTGGGGGGGGGGTGGGGGTTGCAGGTTCAGCTTTTGTTTATTTTTTATTTTTTAGAAGATTTAGGTTTTAAAAAAAATTTTAATTTTTTTTGCCACATGGCACACATTTGGCAGCCACGTTAACACTTAACTGATCAATGGATGGAAAATGTAACGGATGTATTATTTTGAAATAAAATAGTACGTGAGGTATGAAAGTGAAATGTTTTAAAGATGTTATATGAGGTTGTAATAGACCTCAAATATGAAGGCCTACTATGTAATTTGGACAATGATTGTCTGCCCTCCCACTTCCGGTGCCCTCCCGTGCCCTCCTGTTTGTGTGGTCACGATTAAGCCACGTCAACATTTTAAATTACTATTCATTTTTGTCTTATTATTTCTATAAAAAACAATATAAAATGTTGACGTAGTTTAAATGTGACCACACAAAACAGAAGGGCACGGGAGGGCACCGAAAGTGAGAGGGTAGACAATCCTTGTCCATGTAATTTACCCTATATATACATATACTATGCGTGCAGAACTACTATGTGCAACATGCCTGAGAGGTATGAAAAGATAATATAAAAATAGGAAAACTAATTAAAAGAACTTAAAAACTTGGGAGTTTTAACAATCAGGACAAAATAAAAGATAAAATGAATAGTATCATGATTGACTTTTTAGCATAAAAAATGTAATTTTTCGTTAAAGTGAACAGTATCAGAAACATTTCGTTAATGTTTCCTATAAAAATTCTATTCAAAGTGCAACTATTTATAGGGAAAAAAAAATCATGATTGGAGCCTAAGCCTCGACTTTCCACAGCTATAGAGACTGCTTACAGAGCAATCGAAAACCACAATGGATTGCCACGTGCACCCATAGACTCTCCACCGCACCCCTAGTTCCTCCACCTACTGCATAAGATTTCCACCGCTCTCTAGAAACCCCCCACCTCCCAGTTGCATAGCCAACACTGGTCGGCAAAAAAGGGTATTGAAAAAATATTATTTTATGAAAGGGATAAGTATAAGGAGGCAGATGATACTAAGAAGAAATTTCTCCTTGTCGATTAGAAGATTATAAAGAGAGGTCATTGTCTTTTGTGTGGTGGGTTATATCAAAACTAATGAAAGGGGCTTGAAAATTTTGAGTTTTAATGATAAAGACAAAATAAAGGGTAAAATGAATAGTACCATGATTGACTTTTTAGTATAAAAATGTGGTTTTTCGTTAAAATGAACAGTACCGGGTGCTTTTCGTTAAAGTTCCCTTATATCAATAGGCGGCCCTATAGAAGGTTGATCTAAGTTAAAATAAAACAAAACTAAAACTATTTCCTATTTGAAGTTAAAAATAACAATAAATTAAAAGAAAAACTAATGAAAAAACTTTAAAAACTTTGAGTTTTAACGATAAGGACAAAATAAAACGTAAAATAAATAGTACCATAATTGACATTTTAGTGTAAAAATGTAATTTTTCGTTAAAGTGAATAGTACCGAAAACTTTTCGTTAAAATTCCCTAAATTAAATTCTGAATCTTCATAAGTTTCAACAAAAATCTAGTTCTGATTCCACTCTTAGCCCACCTGAATTTTATATCCAGGATCCGTCCTCCTTTCGACGTTTCAACCATTTAAATGTCTCCAAGCAAGCAACAAATATCTTCTCAACTTGCTAAGAAATGTTTCAGTTTTTGACTTTTTTGGGTAAACATATCTCTTGACAAAAACCAAGGAAAATGTTCATATACATGTCATCTAAACAATTTTCTCAAAGAAAGCAAATATATAATTTTCTTTTCATTCCATAATACCACTCAACAGCAGAGCCACGTCAAAAGCTACGGTGGGTTGTAGTTTAGGAAGGACTAGAAATTGTGACCCGCACGTTGCTGCAGGGAGTGTGACTTACTAGTAGCTACGAGATTGAAATTTTTTTGACATATTATGGTTAAAACATATAAAAATCATGTATCCAATGATTGTGGACCTAATAATCATAGATTCAACATCAAACACCTAATTGTCACCAAACCCAAGTAAACTTTCATTTTACTAAGTTCTTAGCACTTCAGTTCAATCTGAAGTTAAAAAAAGTAGTTCAATTTAACTTAAAATTACATAGAGGAAGGTAGATAGACAGAACAAACAGGAACAAATAGTTGCGGAAATATGTACGGTGACACTGATCCTGCAAGTCAAATATGAAAAATATTCAAAAGAATGTAAAAACTCAAATTACTCCTAGCATCAATAGATTAAACAATGAATAAATCAAATTCATATAAGTTTATATTGCTTGTCGCTTGACAATTCAGCATGGGAAAAAAATGCAAGAGAAAAATATTGTTAATATCCGGTGAAGTGAATAACAGTGTGTATAACATGAATATGCATGTGCATAGAATGGAAAAAAATTGTACAAACCTATATCAACTAAGTTACAACACAACTACATATGCAAACAATGCAAAAGACTAAATTAGGCGCAAGCCAACTTCGAATTTAACCAAATCAAAAAAGCAATCGCAATCAAACTAACCTCTTCTTCCCATATGAAGTAGAAGATGTCCCCTATTTTGCCTCTACGAACAGCGCTTTTCACCCTTTACGCACAAAAAGAACACTGAAAATGCTTGACAACATAATAAAAGCTATACATACAGCATTATATATGTATTTGAACATAAAGGATAAAGATTTACTAACAAATTCAAGCTTAAATTTAACAAAATAAGTAATTATGAATTGAAATCAAACTATATCATACGTGTTAAAAAAAGTTTGACTAAATTTTACAAATGCATCATAAATTGTTCAAAAATTAACACCAGAAAAACTCATTACTCCAAAAAAAAAAAGGAATATTGTTTGATTTACATTGATAAAATAATCAAAAGTAAAAAGCATCAAAAGATTTCCTGCATATCAAATGCAAAAAAAATTACAAATTGAAATTAACTATAAAGTGTTAAAAAAAAAATACAATTACAAAAAAATTGTTCAAAATTAACACCATTGAAAAAAAACTCATTACTCCAAAAAAAAAAAGGGAATAATTGTTTGAACAATAAATATCCACCAAAAGTAGTTTTCCACCAGAGCATCCAATCGCAAAGTTTTTTTGCATAAAACATTTAAAACAAAACATTTACACACCAATTACACACACATAACAGAATTAAAAGAACCAATAAAAAAACCAATACATTACGTAATGTGGCAATTAACCCAATTTACAATGAAAACGTTTTGGACAGCCCAGTCGAAAAGATTAATCAACATATTCCACCTAGGTGTTGTTGGCTTTGGATATGACAGTGGTATTTGCATACAAAAGATTTAATAAACATTATTGGTCCATTTACATGCTTGCAAAAAATGACAAAAATATTTTCTATTCAGTTACCTTTCAGAAATTATAATAATGATAGACAAAAACTGCTTGCAAATATTCAGTCATATGGCAGCAGCTTGAAATCAAAATACTAAGCTCTCAATTAAAAAAAAAGACAATAACTTTGGCAAATATTTGACAACATATTACACACCAACAATAAAAGGATTTCCATCCTTGTGAGAAAAATCCTACAAAAATTGATACTGTTCATATCACTATAAATTTATATCTAATGGCATATAGTTTGAAGAAACTGACGACATTTCTCCAAAGTATTTTGAACCATGAAATGATAATGACAAATAAGTGCTACGATGAGCAAGATTATGACTACTGAAATTTTGGATTGAAAGAAATACAATACTTGCATAGAAAAAAGGGTCCATCTCGAACACTTCATATGCAGTGGATGAGAAACTAAGAAAGTAGCAAAAGAAAAATTAAATGGCATAAACTCTATGTTGAATCAACACATAACCAAACCCATTTGAGTCTTACCTCGCAATCATTAACCCAACTAACTGCCACGCACCTTAAGTTTTGCTGCATAAATGCCCCTTGCAAGCAACCCAAATGGAATGGAGTGTGCTCTCCTCTTCCAAAGTGTGCATATATGGTTCTTTGTCAAGAGCAAATGCACTCAATACTTGCTCTAATCGACTGACACATAAGAAAGTAAAAACAATTGGTACACCGGCATAGTACTTACATAGAGAAAAATGGTCCATCTTCTACACTCCATATGCAGTGGATGAGAAAAACTAAGAAAATAGCAAAAAAAAGAAAAATTAAATGGCAAGAACTCTATGTGTTGTTGAATGAACACATAACCGAACCCATTTTAGTCTTACCTCGTGATCGTTTGCCCAAATAATTACCAGATTTCCAAAGTGATAAATCAAATATATAACTCTTACTATCAGGCACTACCATTCCAACCATGTCAAGAGAAGGGAAGGGAACATTGTGAGGTGAAAAATATAACCGAGGGCAGAACAGAATTAACCATTTTGATGTTCCTGTTAATTATGTCTAAAAGAATTTCCATATCCAGTGCATTCTTTCTAATAATTGACACAAAAGAAACAAATATACAACCATGTTCATGTAATTCAAAGAGGAACAAATATACACCTGAGTTTTTCAGATGATTAGTCACCCTCTCCCCAAATCCCATTCAGATCCTTCTATTTCTCCTAGTTGGAGACTCTAATTCAAGTAAAATCAAACATTTAAACAACTCATCTCTCACCTGATTGATTGGTACCAAATGAAGGTCATTAATACTTATTTGTAATTTAATTAGCAAATAAATTTAAAACGCTTGAATGAATTTAACAAATCGGTGAGCTACAGTATGTAATTAATTAGTACTCTTGACAAATATATACCTGCTGCTTATCCAAGATATAATTCAATGTCAAATCGAACTCAAAATTAATATGAACTAATTTAAATAAGTGCAAGCATTGATACCTCAATTGAATTTCCAGCTTAATTTTCTTGCCGATAAACCTTAACCTACAAAACGAAATTACCTTTATCAACGAAAATGAATCAATTTAAGAAAGCAAATACAATGTAGAAAAATAGCCATTCAATTCAGCTGCATTTAGATTATACAATGGTCCATTCAAACAACCATAAAGACAAAAATGAAAAATTGAACAACCAACATTTTCCAACCACTGGTCGCACCCTTCTAACCTTTGATTGTATCCAGTAAGAACCAAATTAATCTGAAATGACAAGAAACCCTATTAATTAACCTTCAATATCAGAATCTATAATCACTTTCTTCAACTAAATTGACTTTTTTGTTGGGAAAACCCACAAAACCCAGTTTACTTATCCATTTCTAAGGGAATTGACATACATGCTTACTTTTCTCACCACTAATCCGATGCTCCATTTATATCCTGACTCATTTCCTTGCAAACTATCGTTTGATTGCCATATAAGTATCTCGTAGAATTTTTTTGGAAGCTTGTAACTTTATTTTTCATTACTGGTTGTAAATTTATTCAGAATACCGATTGGATTAAAAGGTATTAAATTAATGACGTATAAGATTAGAAAAAACAAATACAGACACAAAAAGGGGACCGAAGTTCCACATATCGTGCAAGTTCATAGATTAGAACTTACCACTTGAAATGTCTCTAGCAATTTTCCGAGTTGGTGTGCATGTTGCTTTTCATCATTCATTCCATCAAGCATTATATACTCAATGAAGATTTTCTGTTGATTAGAGAGTCAGATTAAAGAGCAATAGCGAGATTTTCTAAGAGTGTAAAACAACAGTAAAGTTTCGTTGTAAACGAATGAAACCTCAAAGAATTTACTAAAGGAAAAGCCCAAGCTGCAGCCGTTATCTGACAACGAATTTCTTGGACTGCTGCATTAAGTAAAATTGCTGATTTCAGACCTGGAAGATAGCAATGAAACTTTCCATATTTCTTTAATCCAAAATTTTAAAACTAGAATTATAAAAAAATTGAATTAAAGAAAAAAAAATCAACTTTTTTGAGCTCACCAATCGGCAGTTTTTGGGTGTCTGCTCATGGAAGGAACTTTTTTGAGCCAAATGCATCCCTATGTACTTCTTTTTTTGTCACCGATCCAGCTGAGGAGAGACATAGAGAGAGAAGAACTGTAAATTTGGTGAAAATAAGCAATTAGGCAGTAAAAAAGAAAGACGTTTTAGCTTTTTAAGAAGCTGAAAGCTTGCAACTAATTGGGTGTCGACCACACTTATCGACTTATAAAAATTTGAATTTGAATCCTTTGGGCTTCAAAAAAATTGCACAGAAATCCAGAAGAAGATGAAAATTGAAGCAAACTATATGCATTGGGCAATTGTGACTCACCCAAAACAAAGGAAATACCTGCATACTCTTTCACTCTTTCCCTATGTCAATATCTCCTTATGAAGATGTGAATGCAGTAGGAAGGAAAATGGAGAAATGGGATTTTGGAGAATAGGGTAGCTCGGCCGGAGGAGGAGAAGAGGAAGCAGATGGAGAGCCCCCATCAGGAGGAGATCGGGTAGCGTTTGGTTGGTTTCCCAGTCTAGATCAGGGAGCTGGAAAAAAATCTCTATCACATCAAGTTCAAGCCTTCACTTACCACAAAGTATTGTGTATATACTGGGCATTCATGTGGCTTTCCTTTCTCATGCCAAAACCAAAGCTTGCTCATCCTCTGCAATTAAATACAACAAAAAAAATCAAAATAATAAATTAAAATTTAAAATCAATTTTTTAATCAGTGAGCAAACATAGATTTGCACATACAAAAAGAAGAGAAACAACGAATATAGAAGCACCCGTTGCCGCGATGAGGAGGTCCAAGGGATTGGTTTTAGCTTTTCCGTCGAAAAGTTGGCTTTCTTCTTCTCCTTCTGATTCATATTCTATTATGGGTCGGTCTTCTTCTTCCGACATCACTGCAGTAATCCCGAAACTCGAATTCTCAAATTCTTAATATTTTTCTAATCAACTGCGCTTCAACTAACCCTTTTCAAAACACCGAAAATAACAGATCGAAGGTACTTACTTGTCATAGGGTTTATGCAGACCCATATTCAACAATTAGAGATGGAAGTTCTAGAGAGAGAAAGTGGTTTGAAGGAGATGAGAGAAACGAAATTTTGGAGAGAGATGAAATTTTAGAGAGAAAACTCGAGATATCTGCACAGGAAGGATACGGCAAGGTTCACTGGAATCTTCGAGAGAGAGGTCGAGAAATCTTGATAGAGAACACGCTTCCACCATCTCGCTAAAACATGGGTAAAAACGGAATCACACTATAATAAACAGTGACCATAGAAACAAAGAAAGGGTAAAAAGGGAATTACACTGTCGATTGAACAAAGTGCAAGAAGAATTATTTTCTAATGAAACTAGCCCACTACGTATTTAGCACAATTAAAAATATATAAATTATCATGAAAACTGTGATGTCATTTTGTTCAAGTTTTGCTTTGATTCGGTGGGTTTTATATTATTTTCAATCAATTTTTTTTTAAGATTGTCCTTACTTCTACTTTCATTGTTTTGTTTTCTGCTAGTTGTGTAGTTGTAATTGAGATAGTTCATGTATCAAGTTTTCTACCTTCTTTTTGTATTTGCATCTAAATACATGTGAAACTGGATGGTTTATTGTATTTTTTACAGTTTGCAATTGCAAAGCTTATTGAGTCCATGACAAGCAGATTTTAAAGTATACAAATACAAAAATTAAACTTAAACTTTTGTATACAATATTTAGGTAACAAAAAAATATCATTTAATTTTATGGTGATTTTTTTTAGCTAGTCCAGCCATAAAAAAGTTTATGGCTTTGCCCTTACCCCTCTCAATAAATGTGGTAGTTTTCACACCCATATTTTATTGATTTCAAAATCATTTTTGTTTTGTTTTTTTTTTTTTTTTTATGTTTTTGTTTTTTGTTTTTATAATGGAAAAATGGAAAAGAGGATCAAGGTATAAAGCAAAATATGTGTGTGATAATTGTTGCCTTAATATATTACATGCACACAAGGAAATCCAGCCTGACCCAACCTATTCATGCGATCAATGTGGGAGCATCAACTTAGTTCCTGTGGGTTTTTGAGGATCAAAAGAAATTGTTGGAATTCTATGAAAAAGTCTTGGGAGTTAAGATGCATGCCAGTTTCATACGACCATAAAACCCTAGTCGTTCTTGCCCTAGGTTTTCCAACTTCCTCAGCAAACCTTTCTCTCTCTTCCATGGCGTTCTCATAGTTATCCGGGCCTAACACCACTCACTTTTTCGAACCTACTTAATCAAACTACCTTCTATGGCTTAATCAAATTAAGCCCTTTCTCGTTGGTCATGACCCTTGGGCTACAACTATTAGGATTCCTAAGTAGGAAGGAAATCTGATTACAATATTTGTAGAAATAGAATTCTAATTAGGATTTTATTCTTTCAAGATTAGTCTTAAAGTAGAATATCGTTTTGTTAAAGTTGTAGAAATGCACTTGTAGATTTTGCCTTTCGTCTCGAGCCATTGTATGACAAATTACAGGCACTGTTCTAAAAACCCCCGCCTAGCACTGTCCAAACGCTAAGTGGCTGGCAACCACCCCGATTAATGCCTACGCGTTTGAAAATTAAGAAAGGACCCTTAGACTTGCTGAGGCACCCGCCTAGGCACCTACCTAGGTTGCGACTCACTTAGACAGAAAACAGATAACTTTCATTTTGCATTTTATTTTTTTTTCAATAAATTGTAAGTGTAACATCCCACATCGCCTAGGGGAGTAGATCCTATAAGCCTTATATGTATATTCTCATCTCTACCTAGCACGAGGTCTTTTGGGAGCTCACTGGCTTTAGGTTCTATCAGAACTCTGAAGCTAAGCGAGTTCGCACGATAGCAATCCCATGATGATTGACCCACTGGGAAGTTCTTGTGTGAATTCCCAAAAACAAAACCGTGAGGGCGTGGTAAGGGCCCAAAGCGAACAATATCGTGCTACGGTGGAGTCAAGTCTGGGATGTGGTGGGGGCCCGGGTCGAGATGTGACAATTTGGTATCAGAGCCAATCCCTGACCGGATGTGTGCTGACGAGGACGTCGGGCCCCTAAGGGAGGTGGATTGTAACATCCCACATTGCCCAAGGGAGTGGATCCTGTAAGCCTTATATGTATATTCTCATCTTTACCTAGCACGAGGCTTTTTGAGAGTTCATTGGCTACGGATCATCGGAACTCCGAAGTTAAGCGAGTTCGCGCGAGAGCAATCCCATAATGGGTGACCCATTGGGAAGTTCTCGTGTGAGTTCCTAGAAACAAAATCGTGAGGGCGTGGTAGGGGCCCCAAAGCGAAAATTATCGTGCTACGGTGGAGTCGAGTTGGGGATGTGTCAGTAAGAGACTTGTTGAATACTTAAATGAACACACATTATATGCTTGTTCCCCATATTTTCATTATGTTCAAATACTTCATAATATATATGTCATTATATTTTTGTAGTTTATGATGAAATTATATATATTTTAAGTATAAATAGACACTTATTTACACGAAAATATAATATATTTACTTAAAATCTGCCTAGGCACTAGGCCCTAACCTGCCACTCGACTAGTGCCTAGCGACTAGTGTTGGAGAACAATTTAGAAACAGAAATAACAGAACTTGATATACTTATACTTTATTACTAAAAAATACTTGCAATACAGAATGATAACACAAATAAATACAGAAAATTAAAATGATACTAACTTGAATGAATTAAAGGTAGAGGCTAGCATAAAAGCTATGTCATTTGAACAGTATTTCCATCCCACTCTTGTGCTTATAGTTATACAACGTCTGCTCGACCAGGATACAAATACCTAATTCTACAACCCGCACTAGATTATAGAATTCTAGCGAATTGCTTTGTGTGTTACTCTCTCTGGAAAGTTTGTACGGAAGAAAAGGAAGGCTAAAAGATGATGTTTGATGGAACTGAGAACTCCAATTATATAGGCTTTTTCATACCTCTTCAAATACATTTTGGATGTATCTGAAGCTATTCAACTCTTTCCAAAGAGTTGTGTCTATTAATCAAAACGTTTTTAATTAATTTTAATTAAAAACTTAATTTGAAATTAAAACTAATTGATCAGATTAATTTTAATTCTTAGGCCCCAAGTGCCCCAACCCTTGTCTTGATTAATTAATATTAATTTATATTAATATTATGGTACAATCATCAAGCCTAATCCACACAATTAGTGGCTCAAGCCTCAATCATCATTCCAAATGGTCCAACACCTAACTAATATTGTAGAAGACAAAACATATATAAAGGTCCTTGGGAATATTTGGAATATTTTCTGTATTTTGACAGGTTGAAGCTGTATGAAATTTTTTGTATCTTGGTTCTAGGCTCCTAGCATGCTGCCAAGTTTGATAAAAGCTCTTCTATACAAAACAAAAAGGAAATTTTTCCTTGACATATAAAGGATAGTGGCAGTCCACAATATGGAAACCAAAAACTTACTAATGCATACCCACAAAGGCATCTCATCTACCTTTTTCTTATATTTCTTCGTTTTATTCCGAAAAGATGAAGAAGGAAAGATAAACAACAAAAAGCTAAATAACCGAAAACTCTCAGACACACTAAAGAACCTCTGCCTGCCAGTCAAGCCAAATAAAAGAGTAGACACTAAACTCAGTAGAAATGAAGCCCAGAAAGCTGACAAAAACTGCTCTGTCCTGTTACTCAACCCCTACTCCCACATAATGTTTAAAAATCCTTTATTTCTTTCCAACAATACCACCCATGGCACAGCCAGAACCAAGCACCCCCAGATAAGCCTGGCGGCCCTGGCCTTTTTTCCTTTACAGGACATCTTATGACTGCAGCAAAAGAAAAGAGAAGCAATCCTAGATGGTGCATCACAAATAACACAAAACAAAATTATCACTACATAGGTTGATGATGGATTCAACTTACCTTGTTATTGACAGACTTCTTTACTTCTTCCACCCTGTCCTTGACTGCCTTTTTGTGTATTGCATCTAACTCACACTTTTTATCTGCCCATTTGATCTTCTCTTCAATTGTCAGAAGCGCATTGTTCGTAGTGTCTAGCCTGATAGTTTCAAATTATTACTATAAGCATCATCTACTCAAGATTTTTTAAACAGTACTCTTTTCTACAATACGATAACTAAAAAAATGTTTTTGGAACAGAAAATGTCCGGGTAACAATTTGTTTATCATGATGTAAGCTTTTGTTTTCACTTTTCAGTTTTCAAAAAAAACTAATCTAAAAACTGAAAACTGAAAATGAAATGGTTATCAAATGGCCTCCTAGTAATGCTTGGATCAATTAACATTATAATGACGCCTTGATGTATAATTTCTCGCCAATAGAGAGGGAGAGATGCAGGTAAGGGTGCATAAAGGATGGTTAGTGAAATTACTTGTACCACCATCCTGAGGCACATAATTTTAAAAATAAAACCGCATTAGATCAAAATTGGTTTCTGTCTAACTTCCATTAGGCAACGCATAGGTAAGAAGGTGCCTAACATGAAAAAAAGGACTTGACTTGGAGAGAGAATTTTAAGAAGACGGCGTTTCCACACTCCCATTTTATCCATTGCACTCCTCTCTCTTATTTCTATGTTTAGTATTAGAATAAATCCAATGAGAATGAATGCATAAAATTAAGGGAAGAGTGCAAATACACAAAATGAGAGAGTGGGAAAAAGACCACCGACAGAGTGACCAACTAAATACAGAAATATGCACACCAATCATCTAAAGTCTGTATCAGATTTCCTAGTTGTCCAGGTCTCAAATCCCTCCCAGCTGCAAACTGAACCTGGAAATAAAATGATGGTTAAGATAGAACATTGAATCCAAAACAATATAGGAAATCATCAAAAGAGTCAAATGTAATAATCAAGGCAGCATATCCAACCTCGAAAGATCTTCTCAAATGATCCAACTTCCCCTTGACTATGCCCTATACATCAGACAATGAAAGATTAGCCTTTTCAGCTTGCAACCTTATCAGTATTTCCTTATTACTGGCTTGCAAGAAATCATCTATAAATGAGAACAAATATATTCTTTTCTTTTAAAACCAATGTAATTTATGACATTTTTTTTTCTCACTAATGAATAGGGGGGCACATACTGCATACATGCAATCATTGATAAGAAAGTCTTCAAGTTCACGCACATTTGAAAGATCAAGCTGCTCAAGAAGTTGATCGTACGATATAACCTGGTAACAACAGAAAATTTTAGAAACTGTAGAATACCTACCAACTCAGAAGGTCCATATGTCAGCTATATTACTATAAGATCAGGAATTTACGAAGGTCAACAATGGTTTATTCTAGTGGAGGCCGTGGTGGTACAGTGGTAGCGATCACAAAGAGCATGGTACCTTTGATATATTTGTGTGGCCAATACTGAGAGTCATGGTCATATAGAAAACAGAATGGTCTAAACAGTTTCTGCCAGAGTCACAGAGTACAGGGTAATGAAGGAATAAATGTTCTATCAGCTCTCTCCTTCAGCAAATTTAGATAGGCTTAGAATAGACCTCCTAGTTTGGACAATTTTTACGTGATCATTTTTAGTTCTGCCTGTAGTTTCTTTCCTCGTTATGTGAGTAATTTTTTGTAAGCATTTGGGATGCAAAAATTAAGTTCGCTAGTAGGTCCACTCAATTTTTTTTTTTTTTAGGCCCACTCTCTTTTGTCCTGCTCATATACATAAACTGGAGAGGAATAGCCACAATTTCTTCTGATCCTCCTTCCTCTCTTTTTTATCCCCCAATCTCTGAATCTTTGCTATCTTCATCTAATGCAACTTCCAACTATTAGGGAGAATGACAAGTCATCAAATATAGTTGCTGTTAAATAGTTTGTTAAAGCTAAATGTAATTAGTTTTGTTAGTAACTGTAGTTAGTCAAGGTAGTTGAGGGTATTCTTGTAATTAGCCTAAGGCAGCTAAGGCTATATATATTCACATCTGTACAATTGAATTATTCATTCAATACAATCAGAGCCATCCTGTATGGTATCAGAGCCACCCTGCTTTATAGCACCGACCTTCTCTTCCGCTTGACCTCTCGATCAATTCCTGATCGATTCTTGCTTTCTTCTCTCTGATTCTTCACTTTTTCATTCCTGATCTCTCTTGAATCTTGATCGCTGCAAGCTATGGCTGCTCAATCTGCATCGCAACCCACTGGGTCTTCTTCTCCAATCATCTCTCCTTCGGTCCAAAACCCTAATTCCTCTTCTAATCCGAGTCCTCTGAATTCGTATACTTCTCTTACGATTCACAACATCGGCAGTATGGTTCCAATCAAGCTGAAAAGTTCCAACTATCTGCCATGGCGAGCACTGTTTGCTCCAATTTTCCGGCGATACAAGCTTCTTGGTATCATTGATGGCACTGAGATTTGTCCTTCACCATTCTTGCCCGATCGCTCGCTCGATGAATCCTGCCTTCGAGGTTTGGTATGAAAAAGATCAAAACCTATTGATCTGGCTCAATTCTACCCTATCAGAAGAACTCATTCCGTTCACAGTTGGTGTTTTCTTCTTCTCGAGAGAACTCTGGGTAAAGCTTGAACAACGTTTTGGTGGAATTTCAGAGGCTCATATTCACCAATTACGATCAAGACTTTAATCAATTCAGAAAGGATCTCAGTCCATTTCTGCGTATCTTCAACAAATCAAGGAAATTGCTGATTCCTTGCAAGCTGCTGGTGTTTTAGTGTCTGATCGTGACCTAATTGCTGCCACTCTACATGGATTACCTGATGAATTCGAGTCTTTTATTGACTCCATCATGCTGCGGCTCTCTTCTACATCTCTTGATGAACTCCATGGCCTCTTACTCACCAAGGAGTTGTCTATGGCTCGCTGCAAGGCTGCTATTTCCTCATCTGCAACTGAACCTTTTCACGCCTTCTTAGTGCAATCTCAGCCTCTCTTGCTTCCTACTCCATCTGTTTTTGCTGCTCAGAATCAACCATTTCACTCTGCTTTCCGATTTAACTCAAATCGTGGTAAGCTAGCTCGAGGTAATTTCTCCTCCAATCGCAATTTTCATAATAATAGGGGCACTTTCACCAACAATCATGGCAATCGCAATTATCAAGGCAATTGCAATTATTAAGGTTCTTCCACTTTCAAAGTTCCTTGTTAGATTTGTGGTTCTACCAGTCATGAGGCAATTGACTGCTTTAATCGTATGAATCCGGATATCTGTGGCCGAATTCCTCCAGCCAAACTTGCTGTAATGTGTGTGCATCATTCCGCAAAATCTGCTCAGCCTTGGTTAATTGATTCTGGCGCCACCTCCCACATCACCAATGATGTAGCCAATATTTCTTCTCCAACTCCTTACAATGGAGAGGACAAAATGTACATTGGAGATGGTAAAGGATTATCTATCCATCATATTGGTTCCTCATCTCTGCACACTCCAAATTCTTCCTTTAAACTGAGCAATGTTTTACATGTTCCTTTCATGAAACATAATCTCTTATCTGCTTATCAGTTTGTTAAGGATAATAACTGTTCATTGACTCTTGACCCTTATGGATCCATTGTCAAGGATCGCATTTCGGGGAAGATGCTTTTGCAAGGACTTGTTAGGGATGGTTTCTATCCTCTCAACAGTTCCACCAATTCTTCTTCTTCACCTTTAGCGTTTTTCAGCATTCAAGCACCAATCACTGTATGGCACAAGCGCCTCGACCACCCTTCCTCCTCAATTTTTCGAAGAGTCATATATACCAATAATCTTGCACTGCAAGGCAAGAAGACTGTTGATTTTTTCTGCTCAGATTGTGCACTTGCTAAGAACCACAAGCTTCCTTTTGGAGTGGCTTCTTCATCAACAACTCACAGTTTCCAACTTCTGCATTGTGATCTGTGGGGACCTGCCTCTGTAACATCTAATAGTGGCTTCAAGTATTATCTACTTCTTGTTGATGATTTTAGCAAATACAGTTGGTTTTTTCCATTGAAGTCTAAGTCCGATGTATTTTCTAGATTTGTTACTTTCAAAACCTATGTAGAAAACTTCATTGGCAATAAAATCAAGATTCTGCGTTCAGATTCAGGGGGTGAATTTACTAGTCACTCTCTTACTTCATTTCTTCGTGATCATGGTATATTGCATCAATTTAGTTGTCCACATACGCCTGAACAAAATGGCTGTGCAGAGAGAAAACACATACATCTTGTTGAGATAGCTCGCACATTACTTGTAGCTTTTCAAGTTCCTCAGGTTTTTTAGGTTGAAGCCTTCTCCACTGCAATATATCTTATAAATCGACTTCCTATTTCTGGTCTTACAAAGTCACCGTGGGAACTTCTTTTCAACCATCATCCAGATTACTCTAAACTGAAAGTATTTGGCTGTCAATGCTATCCTTGGCTTAAACCGTACATTCACAACAAATTGGATGCTAAGAGCAAAAGTTGTGTGTTTTTGGGCTATAGTCTTCAACATAAAGGCTATAGATGTCTTGGTCCCGTCACTAATAGAATCTACATATCAAGACATGTTGTCTTTGATGAAACAACTTATCCTTTTACATCATTGCAGCCCAACAGTCCCACTTCAAAGATTTCATTTTCTACACCTTCTCCATCCTTTGACCTTAAATTCAGCAAACATTTTTCCAGTTCTCCTCCAGTCAATACCTCTTCAGCACCACAGTGTTCTTCTGTACCTCATCCTATCAATCGGATTACATCTTCCAATGAAACTTCTTTCTGTAATCAGTCAGTGGATAATTCTCACACTTTTTCCAGCTCTGCCTCTTTCAATGACTCCTCTCTCTTACCTATTCAACCTAGTAATCCACCTATTTATGGGAATACACATCCTATGATTACAAGATCTAAGGCTGGAATATACAAGTCTAGAGCTTATGCAGCAACAAAACATCCACTTCCAGTTGATCTTGACTTTGTTCCTAGTACTTATTTACAAGCATCAAAGCATGCTCACTGGCGAGCTGCAATGCAGGCTGAATATAATGCCTTAATAACCACAGACACTTGGTCTCTTGTTCCCTCTCATCCTTTTCAGAATGTTGTCAGATGTAAATGGGTGTTCCGGGTCAAGAAAAATCCTGATGGAACCATTGACAGATACAAAGCACACTTGGTGGCAAAGGGCTTTCATCAGCAAGAAGGAGTTAACTTTCAAGAAACCTTCACTCCTGTTGCTAAACCAGTCACCATTCGGATTCTTCTTACACTTGTTGTCCAAGATAATTGGTTCTTGAATCAATTAGACATTAGCAATGCATTCCTCCATGGTGATTTAAAGGAGGCTGTTTACATGCAACAACCTCATGGTTTTATTGATCCTAACTCTCCCCATTCTGTTTGCAAGCTGAAGAAATCCTTATATGGCCTCAAACAAGCTCATCGAGCTTGGTTTGATAAATTGTTTCAAGCTCTTCGAACACTCGGCTTTCATCAATCTCAATCTGATGCCTCTTTGTTTGTCCTTAATGGACCTCAGTTGGTTATTGTCCTTGTTTATGTGGATGACATCTTAGTTACTGGACCCAACTTCTGTCAACAGTTTATCCAACAACTTAGTACTCAATTTCCAGTAAAAGATCTTGGTCATTTACACGATTTCTTGGGGTTGGAAGTCCACAGATCCAACAAAGACATCTTTCTTCATCAGACCAAGTATTTACTTGATCTTCTTAAGAAAACAAATATGGAAGGTGCCAAACCTTGTTCCACTCCTCTTGGTTCTCAGAAACTGGATCACAGTGGGCCTCTCTTGTCAAATCCCACTGAATATCGCTCTATAGTTGGTGGTTTACAATATCTCACTTGGACTCGACCTGAACTTGCCTTTGCTGTTAATCAGATATGTCAATTTATGCATGCTCCCCGAGAACAACATCTTCAAGCAGCAAAACAGGTTCTTAGATTTCTTAAAGGCTCTATTTCTCATGGTTTATGGTTCACCAAAGGTCCTATTAACCTTTCAGCATTCTCTAATGCTGATTGGGCTGGCTGCACCTTTGATAGGCGGTCCACCAGTGGATATTGTTTATTTCTTGGTCCAAATCTTGTCAATTGGAGTGCAAAGAAACAAAGCAATGTCGCTCGTTCCTCCACAGAAGCTGAATATCGTTCCTTAGCACATTCTGCTGCATAACTAACTTGGGTTTGCAAAATCCTCAAAGATCTTCATTCTCTTCTACCTACACTGCCTACCCTATGGTGTGATAATATTTCAGCAATCTTTTTGGCATCTAATCCTATTTTTCATGCTCGCACCAAGCATATTGAGATTGACTATCACTACATCCGGGAGTTGGTTCTAGCAAATCTCATCAAAGTCTGCTATGTTTGCAGTGAAGACAATTGGCTGATCTTCACACCAAATCTTTGTCTAAAAGCAGATTCTCTTATTTGTGTTCCAAGCTTCCAATTGGAATCCTATCTGATTACTCTTTTAGCTTGAAGGGGTGTATTAGGGAGAATGACAAGTCATCAAATATAGTTGCTGTTAAATAGTTTGTTAAAGCTAAATGTAATTAGTTTTGTTAGTAACTGTAGTTAGTCAAGGTAGTTGAGGGTATTCTTGTAATTAGCCTAAGGCAGCTAAGGCTATATATATTCACATCTGTACAACTGAATTATTCATTCAATACAATCAAGAAAACTTACTGTTGAAGTTTTCTGTTTCTATACCAACTTCACTGATAAAAAAGTTCTAGCCTTACTTTGTCTCAGAATTTCAAAAGCAAGCTTTTTACCACCTAGGCAACAAGACCTTGAGAAATTTTATATGAACATTGATTTGAGAAGTACACGAACTAAAGCAATTTCACCCAAAGCCCCTATATTCTACACATGGAAAAATGAGGTGGCTTTCTTTCCTGGCACAAAAGTAAAATATTTGACCATTGTAAGAACTTTTAAGAGATATTAAACTGCATTAGTGTAAGTACCATAATCCAATAAGGGACTAGTCGGCAATTTCAAGTAAGATATAACTAGACTGCAACTATAAAAAAAAAAAGGTCCAGCGATTAGAGTATGATATCGAGCTAATTCTTATACCCTGTTCATCTCAGCTAGAGAAAGCACAGTAAGTTGCTTCAGCTTCGTGATTTGATCTGGGACTAGGAATATGGCTAGTATTACCTGCCACTCATTCAGTCAATAAATTTCTCATTCATAGGTATGTGAAATAAGGAATATAAAAATTTCAAGTGTCACAGCCAATGTCAAAATCCAATGAAACAACTAAAAATATGACTGATATAAGATCTTGTGGCTCCTTAAACAACATCTCGTCCAATACAGAGAGAATTTATGTAGTAGCAACATAAGTAGACCTGACAATTTCACATCATTAGATCCCAAACAGTCAAATAAACTGAAGCGCTAAGCTGCCTTACACATTGAGCACTAATGCAAGGCAAAAGTGGCTTGATAATAATATTGTTGATTGTCCACATGATGTTGTACAACAAGTACACAATGAACAAGGACAACTTCTAGTTTTACAGGTAATGTTTGTCAATGTATGCATACCAAGAAGGCTCCTAACACTAGTTGGTCTCGCAGTTATTATGAAGTTGTGTAACATACTGCAATAACTTTGCTATTTGCTAAACTAATTTTCATCACTCCCTTCCCGAAGTATTAAAGGTGATGGAATCAAGGTTCAGAAACTCTGCCTTTTGAAGTATATAGCCGCAAAATTTTTCTTTTAAGTCATAATGAAAGATGGCATGCTATTATGGGATAGAATGCTATTTAAGAAAAAACATATTCATAAAATAGTGTCTTGGATATGTGGTGATACAACAACAAAGCCTTTTCCCACTAAGTGGGGTCGGCTATGTGAATCCTAGAACGCCATTGCGCTCGATTTTGTGTCATGTCCTCCGTTAGATCCAAGTACTCTAAGTCTTTTCTTAGGGTCTCTTCCAAAGTTTTCCTAGGTCTTCCTCTACCCCTTCGGCCCTGAACCTCTGTCCCGTAGTCACATCTTCGAACTGGAGCGTCAGTAGGCCTTCTTTGCACATGTCCAACCCACTCATTCCTAATCTTATCCTTTCTCATGAGCCCACACCTCCAACGAAGCATCCTCATCTCCGCTACACCCATTTTGTGCACGTGTTGATGCTTCACCGCCTAACATTTTGTGCCATACAGCATTGCCGACCTTATTGCCGTCCTATAAAATTTTCCCTTGAGCTTCAGTGGCATACGACGGTCACACAACACGCCAAATGCACTTTTCCACTTCATCCATCCCGCTTGTATTCTATATATTTGTCTTTGATCGGCTTAGGCGAAAACCTTTAGATTCCAACACTTCTCTCCAAAGGTTAAGCTTCGCATTTACTCCTTCCTGAGTTTCATCTATCAACCCTATATCATCTACGTAAAGCATACACCGAGGAATAACATTTTGAATATGTCCTGTTAACTCATCCATTACCAATGCAAAAAGGTAAGGACTTAAGGATTGTTGATGCATAAAATCAGTGAGGACTTTGGTACAACAGAGAAAGTATTATGTTTGTGACCTTCGCTAGATTGCTCCGGTCATTAGTGTGGATAAGTATGTAAAAGGATAGAGACAGGAGAGCAAACACAAGATGTACGTGGTTCACCTAGATTGGCTACGTCCACGAAGTAGAGGAGTTCTCATTAATTGTGAAGGGTTTACACAAGAACATAGGTTCAAGCTCTCCTTTAGTGGGTACACGTGAATGATTTAGTACAAATGGCATTAGGAAATATTTTGGGAGAATGATCTCCTTTTATAGAAGAGAGTTTCTAGCCTTGTTCTGACATTGACACGTGTCGTGTTGTGATTGGCTTCCGATGTTGACACGTGTCGCGCTATAATTGTCTTCTGATGTCGACACGTGTCTCTCTGTGATTGGCCTCCTGGTTGGAGGGGAAGCTCCTCGATTGCGAACTTGCAAGATCCAAGCCACTGAGTAATCACGAAACTTCTAAGTACCGAAGTGTGGTGTCGTCTTCACTTGCCTTATCTGTCTCATAGGTAGATGTGGCATCTTTCTCTGGAAGTACTCTTCCTCCGTCCAGGGGTGGTATCTTTAACTGGTGGAGATGCACAAGGTAATGTATCAATTTCACTTGAAGCTTACTTGTAGTTTCAGGCGTGGTCAAGCGCGATACAAACCATGTAGTAGGAGTCCCCCAAGTCGCCGAGCTAGGAGATCTGCTGAAAGAGGTGACAGACAAGGTAAGCAATCAGAGCTCCAAGCAATCAGTCCAAGATCAGAAGTTTGATTTCGAGTTCCGGCTGATTGTTCTCATTCTCCTTATCTTGCAGGCAGCATCAAGCAGAAAGAGAAGAAAAGGAAAAGAGATGATATGAGATACTTTTGCTTTTGAAGAAGTAACTTTCCACAGGCTTATTCTTGAACTGGGTTGGAGGGTTTTCTGGTTACCTCCAGAGTATAAGGCCGACTGAAGAATTTGAGGGTCAAAACAAGTCCATCAAATCTAGAGTACGTTCGACCCTGCTGATATGGGATACTTTTGCTGTTGACAAGGTAGTGGAAGTATCGGCACGTGTTCTGTTACGCTTGTCTCCACATGCTTCCTTGTATCCTTCTCATTGACCCTATCTGTTCCTCGGGCAGATGTGGTATCTTCTCTGAAAGCATAAGATGTTGAAGATGAGTACTCGAGAGCAATGCCAGGTAAGTAATCAGGTAAAGGGTTCTAGGCAGTCAGTTCCTGACTGGAAGCTTGATTCCAAGTGCTGACTGATTGCTCTCTTTCTCCTTATCTTGCAGGTAAGACAAGGCCAAAGGAAAAGACAGGGAAAAAGCATGATATGGGATACTCTTGCTTTTAACCCTGATGATATGAGATATTCTTGCTCTGGTGTAGCTTGTTCGCAGAGATATTATCGAGGGGAAAGAAAGCTGAGTATTTCGAGAGGCTTCGTTGGGAGTGCCCTCTCAGATATGAGGAAGGGTTGAGCATTTTTGCAAGTCTGCCTGTTCGTTGAGGATGAGGTCGACATATATAGGAGTCTCTCTAACAACAAGTAGTAATGCTATTCCTTTACCCTTCTTGGTCATAGCACTGTAGTGGGAGCTGTCCGCTTCACGTGTTTTAACTCTATCAGAGCACTTTGAAAAAGTGGTCTGTGGTATCTGGAAAGCTGATGTTGTGTATGAAGATTACAGACAAGCTTTATCTAAGGAGATCTAGCTCTCGAAGTTGAGAAAGCGATGCCTCTTCAGTTTTCGAACAAGCGATCCTGTCAGGGATCTGGCTCTCGAGATTCGGAGAACGGTGCCTTTTCGATTTTTGAGAAAGCAATCCTGCTGGGAATCTGGCTCTTGAAATTCGGAGAGTGGTGTCTCTTCGTTTTTTGAGAAAGTAATCCTGTTGGGAGTCTGGCTCTCGAGATTCGGAGGGCGATGCCTTTTTGATTTGAAGCAAGCAATCTTGTTGGGAGTGTTTTCTCGAATGTGAGTAAAGGTTGGGCATTTTTTCTAGTCTACCTTGCCACGGAGCACAGAGGTTGACACACAGGGACTTTCCAATTATCTAGCAGTTGTACTGTTCCTTTACCCTTGTGGGTAATAATATGGTAGCTAAACCTTCAAAATTTATGTGTCTAAACTTTGTTAGTGCTGTTTCTTTGCTATTCTTTTACCCTTCTTGGTCATAGCGATGTAGTGGGAGCTGCAAGCTTCATGTGTCTAAACTTTGTCAGAGATCTTTGGCAAAGTTATCCGTGGTACCCATGAGCTGATGTTACGTGTGGAAAGTGGATGATTGAACAGTAAGATTCACGTGCTTTCTACTTCACCAGAAATCTTCGACAAATTGCCCTTAATTTCCGCAAAGCTGAGTGTGCATGTGACAGGTGCTGACAAGGCTGAGAAAGCAGGTGCCTCTTCAATTTATGAGATCGGCCCTCGTGGTCTCCGAGCAACTCAGCTTTTGAGAAAGCAAGCGCCTCTTCGATTTTTGAGATCGACCTTCGTGGTCTTTGAGCAGCTCAGCTTTTGAAAAAGCAAACGCCCTTTCGATCTCTGAGATCAGCCCTCGTGGTCTCTGAGCAGCCCAGCTTTTAAGAAAGCAAACGCCTCTTCGATTTCTGAGCAAGCACCTCTTCGATTTCTGAAGCTCCGTCGAGTGCAGATTTTTATAGAGGCTGGCATTAAGTTCCAAAGCACACTTGAATCTCCACCAGTATAAGCTCCCTTCTTGCACTTCTAAGATCTTGATTTATCCGACCTCTTCTCTCTTCAACACCTTTGAAAATGTCTGGCCCTTCCGACCGTCGTTTTGACTTGAACCTTGGTGAAGAGGCAGCCGCGCCTTCTCCAGACAACATATGGCGCCCATCCTTCTTATCCCCTACTGATCCTCTTACCGTTGGGGATTCCGTGATGAAGAATGATATGACTGCTGCGGTGGTGGCCAGGAACATTCTCACTCCCAAAGATAACAGACTTCTTTCCAAACGATCTGATGAGTTAGCTGTTAAGGATTCTCTGGCTCTCAGTGTTCAATGTGCAGGTTCTGTGTCGAATATGGCCCAACGCCTATTTGCTCGAACACGCCAAGTTGAATCATTGGCGGCTGAAGTGATGAGTCTCAAGCAGGAGATTAGAGGGCTCAAGCATGAGAATAAACAATTGCACAGGCTCGCACATGACTATGCTACAAACATGAAGAGGAAGCTTAACCAGGTGAATGAATCTGATGGTCAGATTTTACTTGATCATCAGAGGTTTGTGGGTTTGTTCCAAAGGCATTTATTGCCTTCGTCTTCTAGGGCTTTACCGCGTAATGGAGCTCCAAATGATCAGCCTCTGATGGCTCTTCCTTCTAGGGTTCTGTCCAGTACTGAGGCTCTGAGTGATCACCCTCCGGTGCCTTCTCTTTCTGGGGCTCTACCGACTGATAAGACTTCTCCTAAGCAACCTTTGTGAAAGCCCCCTATTGTTTGTTTATTTTGACTCATGTATATGTACATATTTGTAACTTATCGGAGATATCAATAAATAAGCTTTGCTTCATTTCAATGTATTGTGTTAAATACACCAAAACCTTCTTCACTAAGTTCTTTGAATTTTTCTTTTGTTGAAGCTTGTATGTTTAAGCTTTGTGAGTGAAGCATGTAGGTTGAGGTAGTGTTCCCTTAATTTCTCGAGTGAGGAAAACTTCTCAGTTGGAGACTTGAAAAATCCAAGTCACTGAGTAGGGTCAGCTATATGAATCTTAGAACGCCATTGTGCTCGGTCCTGTGTCATGTTCTCCGTTAGATCCAAGTACTCTAAGTCTTTTCTTAGAGTCTCTTCCAAAGTTTTCCTAGGTCTTCCTCTACCCCTTCGGCCCTGAACCTCTATCCCGTAGTCGCATCTTCTAACCGGAGCGTCAGTAGGCCTTCTTTGCACATGTCCAAACCACCGTAACCGATTTTCTCTCAGCTTTCCTACAATTTCGGCTACTCCTACTTTACCTCGGATATCCTCATTCCTAATCTTATCCTTTCTCGTGTGCCCACACATCCAACAAAGCATCCTCATCTCCGCTACACCCATTTTGTGTACATGTTGATGCTTCACCGCCCAACATTCTGTGCCATACATCATCGCCGGCCTTATTGATGTCCTATAAAATTTTCCCTTAAGCTTTAGTGGCATATGACGGTCACACAACACGCTGGATGCACTCTTCCACTTTATCCATCCAGCTTGTATTCTATGGTTGAGATCTCCATCTAATTCTCCGTTCTTTTGCAAGATAGATCCTAGGTAGCGAAAGCAGTCGCTCTTTGGTATTT